TGTGCATGTCATTTTACCAAGGACTGCTTCTCTAATCTTGGCTTTTATCTTCATTGGCTTCTTCTAATCTTCTTAATTTGGACTAACAAGCGTCTCCGTACCACAACCTGTAAGTACGATTGATACGTTATGTGTACATTTTCAATTGAGTGCTCAAAATATCAAGTTTTTATGTGATGTATACCTAGTGCAGCTTTACGTTTCCAGGTAAAGCACGATATTACTGTCTAACTGAAGTAGTTCAGATAGAAAAAGTTAAGACAGAGCCTCTTTTGTCTGTCATTCTTCAAACATTACAGTAGACATATTTTGGTTTACAAACTGTATTGTTTCATCAGTTAGTCACGTTAGCACTCGGCTAATGTAGCCAGCATTATTGTTTTAAGTGTTCACAGTTTACCAGCTAAACTTTAGCTGTGGGAACGATTCGCTTGCATAAGTGTTTTTGTATTTTATGTCATTATTATAAGAACGGATTGGAGCACTATATTATTGTTCTATGTAAAGGTGCTTTGTCAAATTGGTAGCGCTTGCTAACTTGCTCAAGGTCTCCTCTCTGTGCCAATCACAACAGGCTTGGCCAGCTGACCAATCAGAGCAGGTAGGTTTATGGAAGGGAGGGGTTTGCTCCGAACATTCTTGGAACGAATCGTTTCGAAATCATTGGCAAATGACTCTAATATTAAATGTATATTCTGAGAAAATTACAATGTTTTCTGACCTTAGATGCATTTAAACCTGTTGTAGGGGACTCTGACACAATATTAGAACACTTTAAAATACCATATGACCTGCTCTTTAAGTAGTAGAAGTTATAAGCAGTAGTAAATACAATTTTTTATTGTTTTTGCAAACTAAGGAACTCTGTCAATTGAGCTTAAATTGTTTGAACCCAGAACATATATTTAATCATTGCTGTCTGTATTATATTCATTATTGGTTTTTATTTTAAGATATAAACAGGCTGTTTTTGCTGTACCTTGAAGTCTATATGTTAATGATCTCTGTCATGATTGGTTAACATCTTTTCATGTGAAATGAGTAAAAACTGTCCCTGGCAAGTTGCTTTAGAGATTAGCTTAGGTCTATACAGCCATTATGAAGCCAAACAGAGTCTGAATCTTCAACAACAATAAAAAGCTGAAGGTCAAACCGGCAAGCTTTGTCTGTAATATTACTGAGTTACATTTACACACACTCAACTTTGGTTTTCTATGATTGTATGGACTTTAGGTGTGAATCTTTAGGCTTTTTTAACTGAGTCCAAAGCATTTTTGCAAATGTTTTTGTTTGATTCAGAACATTTGATTTATTGTGATTAACAACAATGCAATTCAGTATTTTTTAAAATACATTTACAAGATTCTTGCCCTGATGTGTCTTAGGCAAGAAAAAGGAGTGATGTTTATTGCACCAATTGATTCATTAGATATTTTTTGCATTTTAGGCTGATTATGGGCCAACACAAATTATTCATAATTTAAATGTCGCATTTTAAGATTTATGCATATGAAGCTGTGTTAAATGAATATTTAATATGCCTGATCCATGCAGTATAGACAATTTCTAATTTTACTGTTTGTGAGGACCAAATATTGCAGCACACAAAACACAAAATAAAATCCAGGCCTGTCTCTCGTCTTTCACTGTCGTAGCTCCTCCTTTTATCCTTCCGGAGCTCCTCCGTGGGACTCGAGACCAGTGAGTGGTGCAGGTGTCGCTCATTATCAATTACTCCACCGGCCTCGCTCCGTTCCCACGGCTCTCAGCCCCGCCCCCACTCGTCACATACCCTCGAGACTGCACTCTACTCCCCCCTCCCCCCTCCGGGGGAGCCGATCACGGCAGCCGCGGCGTACCTGGGGGTAAGGACAGACAGACGATGCAAGAGAAAAGGAGACGGAAGACAGATACGAGAGAGGGGAGAGAGGAAAAGAAAAAAAAATGATCCGTCCGGTTCCCAGACACACAGCCGCTTGATCCTCAACCGGCTGAGAGGCTCTCACTCGCGGTGCCATGTGATGGTACTGGACATCTTTGGTGCACGGCCCACCGCTCCTCCGCCTCCTGGCGGATGGCGATGGATCCTCCTGTTGAGGGCAGCCGGCAGCTCCTCCCCCAATCCCTGCTCCTCCCCAATCATGGCAGACGGCAGCAGACTCCGGCCTCCTGGCGAACGGGTCCGACTCCTCCGCTCCCTCTCGGACGGAAGCCACTCCTCCTCGACCCAGGAGTGCGGCAGCAAGCTCTCCGTCACACCTCGTCTTCCATCGTTCCAGCACCACCGCCTCGGGCAGCCACCGGCAGCACCGCGATCCCCCTCAGCAGCAAGGGCTCCTGACAGCGTGTCCCTCCTTTCTCCCGGGTTTCGGCACCAATGTAACAAAGTTCGTAGTCACGGGAAGAAGGAGGCGGGAACTGGCGAACATTTAAAGACTTTAATAAAATAAACAAACACAAAATGAAAGTAAAGCGGCAGCCCCTCGTGGACGACTGCCGCACACAAAACACAAAATAAAATCCAGGCCTGGCCCTCTCTCATCTTTCACTGTCGTAGCTCCTCCTTTTATCCTTCCGGAGCTCCTCCGTGGGACTCGAGACCGGTGAGTGGTGCAGGTGTCGCTCATTATCAATTACTCCACCGGCCTCGCTCCGTTCCCACGGCTCTCGGCCCCACCCCCACTCGTCACAACTGTATCTGTAAATACTGTTAAAATGATTTGTAACTTCCTCATTTGAGTCCCTAGAAATGTAACACTATGTAAATACCATCAGTATGTACATACAACATCGCATTCACACTTGTTGTATTTACAGTTTGGAGAGTACTGTACTCTTCAAACAGGATTTCTGCCCCTATGATTTTTGACCTCGTCTAGCCTGATCTACTAATCGCTTACTAACTAAGAGTAACTAAGTGTAACATTCATGCTAAACATGCAGAAATCTTAGTTTTGTGTGAAGATGGGTGGATGTGTTTTTTTTTCTTTGTCAGTCAGCCCACTTAACAAACGTACACACACAAAATTGATTTTCCTATTATAGTGTTGACTTCCCTCCTGATTTTTTCCTACTCATGCCGTCCATCAATGTAATTGACATCTGTGACATTTCCATAATCTAAAGTGAATTTTCCCTTCCTTTACGCTTTCCTCTCCCCCAAACCTCCCTCCTCTCTGTCTCTCTCTTTTTTTCAGGGCATGAAACCAGACAGTTTTTACAAAGTGAAAGTTCCTGAACTGAAAGAGATCATTGAGGGATGCATTCGGATGAACAAAGACGAAAGGTAACTATAATGTCTACAAGGTCGTTCAACAAACAGGAACATCTGTAACCAAAGAACTGCAAAGGCGTGTATGTGCACCAGCAGTCATCGTAATGTTTTAACACCTGCCAGACGGGTTTTTACTGTGTGCATATTAAAACAACAATACCCAGATTCTTGTCCTTTTGACATTTAAACAACTCCTCAGAGAGCCCTGCACGCCACTATTTTTGTTACCCAGCTGCACTGGTGGATATTTCTGTTCCGCCCTACATTGATCAGGTGACACATGGTTACAGAATCAACAGTGTCAAAGAAGCCGACATAAACACTTCAGATTTTCTAGTGGTACTAGGCAGTGTTAATTTTGACAGCAAATTTTGATTTAGTTTTAGTCATAGTCTTTTGACTAAAATGCCATTTAGTTTCAGTCATGTTTTAGTCACCTGAATTGTTTTTAGTTTTAGTCTAGTTTTAGTCGACTAAATATCATAAGATTTTAGTCGACAATGTACAATAAATTTAGTCGGCTAAAATCTAATGGGTTTAGTTACAGTGTAATGCGTTTATTAAGCATTTCTACAAAATTTCTCCATTATATAGGTTTGATATTAAGGTTGTATCATGATAGACACCGATTTAACTGCAGTGACACACAACATGTCTTTATGTTAAAATTAAATAAAACCACTTCGCATAAAGAACAAGAACATGGTCTTCTTTTTAATGAAATGCCAATTGTTATATAAGCTAATTATGCATTCTTTATAGCAACTTGTTTACCATATTCTTGATTCTTTCAAGCAGACATATTTATTTCTGTAAATAAATTTAGATTAATCTTTAGGGCTACTAAAGTTTTTCAGTCAAGAACAGTGAGTGGCATGTCTTTATGTTAAAATTAAATAAAACCACTTCGCATAAAGAACAAGAACATGGTCTTCTTTTTAATGAAATGCCAATGGTTATATAAGCTAATTATGCATTCTTTATAGCAACTTGTTTACCATATTCTTGATTCTTTCAAGCAGACATATTTATTTCTGTAAATAAATTTAGATTAATCTTTAGGGCTACTAAAGTTTTTCAGTCAAGAACAGTGAGTGATTTTCTGTCCTTTTTTTGTTGGTTGATTAACATCAATGACTCGGACAATAGCAACTAAATTAGGCTTCTGTCCTTTTAAAACTGAATGCACAGCTGCAATGGATGCAATGTACTGATAAACGTTCTCCCTGCTGTTAACGTTCACTTAATACGTAATCAACTGTGTTTACGTGAATACTCGCCAAAACAGACAACTCGACATCATTTTGTGTGTAATTCTCCGTTCATGCGATGTGAAAGAGTAGGCCTACTCGCGTGCTGTGAGATGCGTTTCTGTGTGTGTATGCTTCACTGTCTGCGCTCAGAAAACCGGACCGAAATGAGTTCTCTCTTGCGTCGTCAGATTTATCCATACTCATGCTCTTCTCTTACTCCCACATATTGACATTTTTGAACGTTTTAATGCGATGTGCTGTAAGTGTATTTTAGCTTATGTCCCGCCGGTTCATATCTAACCTCCTAACCATGCAGCAGATTCATCCTGAAATTGAATGAATCTCTTCCCAAATCGTTCCTCCCTAACGTTTTCGTCTCGTTTTTATTCGTTGACGAAAATGTCAATATATTTTCGTCATAGTTTTTGTCATTCAAAAAGAGTTTTAGTTCGTTATCATCTTGTTGTCGTCAGTGAAAAAAATGTAGTTGACGAACATTATGACGAAAATTATTCGTCAACGAAATTAACACTGGTACTAGGGCATAAACTTTGTCCTCTGTGTTGTTTGTCATGAGCTCTGTGGTGTCAGAGGGCTTTGGGTCACTAGTTAAAATAAGAGAGAGTTATGGTTAGGGTTACTAACACATTCCTGCCAGTCTTATTGTCTCCCGGCTAATCTCACAAACCGCAAACACGATATATATATATATATTAGGGATGCACCGATACCACTTTTTTTCAGAACGAGTCCGATACCGATACTTTAATTTTTTGGTACTCTGCGATACCGATACCTGTATTTTCACAGCATTTGTAATTTTTTTTTAAATATTGGGTACAGAAACAAAATAATAGTAATAATAATAATAATATGAATCATGTTAGTTGGCTTCATTTAGCAAACAGATATTACCTTCAGTTATTTCCACACTTAATTATACCTGTTAAAATGTATTGAATAAGCTTTTGTTACTTTCACTGTTCATTTTAATGGTGCATTAGAGCTGCTCCATTGCAGCAGCTCAATATACTGTAATCACAAAACGTTTTCCTAAAATAATGCAGGGAACCACTCGTTATACATTATACGAGTGCACGCGTACTATTTTGGTGATGTAATTTGCGTCATGCGCAGTGTACACGGATCTGCAAAATAACCTAATAACCAGCTGCTGTGATGTCTAATAATCAAAGGACAAAGAAAAAAAGAGGAAAAAATAAGTTTTATGGCTGTAAGCATTCATCTATATTTAATTTAGAATTTAGTGTTTGATATCTTCAATTTCTGTATATCTGCTGAAGGGCACAGGTAAATATGGCATTTATTATATGGGTTTATGTGAAGATTGTTTTAAGTTCACTTAAATTAGAGGTTATTTTTTAAAGTCTAATAAATGTTAAAATTGATAGCTCTCAGTTATACTGTAATGTTGAATGGCTATAGTCAATGATTACATATTGGAGGGGGAATATAATTTTATAGAGAAATCAGTATTGGTATCATTGATACTGGCCTTCAGTCATAAAAAAAGATGCCATTAAACAACTATTAAAAAATATGTACTGTCTTTATGTTGTTTGTAGATTAATTTGAAGATTGAATGTGAAATGATTGTAATATAAAAATGTTAGGTGGGATTAATTGCGGTTAATTTCAGAAAAACGTGCGATTAATTAGTTAATTTTTTTAATCGATTGACAGCACTAATTATATAAATATGTATATATTATATTTATAATATATAATCTTAAACCCTTCAATCTTAAACCAAAAGATTGAAGGGTGATTCTCAAAAATCTTGCTTTTTTTCAAGATAAATTTAGATGTCTTTCCAAAAAAGGACACTTAGAAACTCCAAAAGTACACCAAAGAACCAAATGATATAAGGAGCCCATAAGCACATATGAAAGAAAAAAAAATCTGAATTTTATAGTATGTGTACAGTGCAACAGCAAAGAGCTTTTTTACATTTTAGAGAAGCCAAGTTGCGTAACCGAACAGGACCACATGGAGATGCCAAATATAAATATGTATATATTATATTTATAATATATAATCTTAAACTCTTCAATCTTAAACCAAAAGATTGAAGGGTGATTCTCAAAAATCTTGCTTTTTTTCAAGATAAATTTAGATTTAAATTTAGATTTAAATTTAGTTTTTCCAAAAAAGGACACTTAGAAACTCCAAAAGTACACCAAAGAACCAAATGATATAAGGAGCTCATAAGCACATATGAAAGAAAAAAAATCAGAATTTTATAGTATGTACAGTGCAACAGCAAAGAGGTTTTTTACATTTTAGAGAAGCCAAGTTGCGTAACCGAACAGGACCACATGGAGATGCCAAAAAAACCTAAACCAATCGCCTGCTGACTGCATATATCTACAGTACACGGATCCATTCCATATAACTAAACACAGCAACATCAACATGACAAATCAAAACATTCGTGAATGTGTGAATCCAGTCGAGAAAACGTAGTTTGCGTTTCATCTGGTCATACAGTGGTGGGATGTGTTGACAATCTGTTCAGTCTGTACTTCACACAGCG